TGGTACAACCCACAGGGCGTTTCAAATTTCCGCAAAAAAACTTATTATTACTCTTGCACCCTGTATTTACCCAAAACGTAAATTTGAAAAAATATTTTCGATAAAAATTACCAAATTCGGTTTGACAATTCTTTAAAATTGTGGCAAATATTTAGTGGTGCGTTAAATTTGACGCGAAGTGTATAATACCGGTTCTTGGTATTTTACTATTGAGTGGAGAGTGAAGAGACGAAGTTTACAAATTTTACGTAATCATTACTAAAATTTGTATTTATTGTATCTAATAACTACAATTTATATTTACAGGGACTGTATGCAATTTATATCTTTATTCGGATTTCTAACCGGTAAAAACTCAACCCAGGATTTCCTCCCGAAAAACACCCAACAACACAAAAAATCATGTCACGGTTTTTTTGTTGATATTTTTAACATTTTCTGGCTTCATTCTCAAAAACACTCGTTTAAACGAGTGTTTTTGAGAAAAAAGCCAGAACATGTAACATACGCGTTTGACAGCTGCTTATTAAAAGCTGAATTTTATTTACGATGATAACAGCCACGGGGTGGCGCTACTAGTGATAGTCATTTGACGTCACAAAATGATTTAAATTCTATATAACACATAGATGACCGAAGGTATAACATTTATATCACGCCATTATACAATCATAAAGTCATTTTTCTATATAGAAAAATTTACATATGTAAATTTGACTTAACAATGACTTTTTCACGTAAGTCATAGTGTTTTATACTATTATAATAATTGTATTTATGGTGGTGGTGGTGTGTTAAAATTTCAAGTGCACTAGCATGCTTTGCGGAACGTGTTAATATTAACATTAATCGATTTCACTAAAATTTAATCAATTTTTAGGTCACTTTAAAAAACCCCACCCTTTATAATTAAAATTTATAATTTGTCAAATATGTCAGAAATATAAATAAAAATAATTGTTTAATAACTAAATAACTTAATTCCTTCGGTCCGGCAACTTATCGTGGACAGTAATTATTTGTATTCAAATGTTAAGGGGGGGACTTCTGGGTGTGGAGCATGGTACTATATTATTATTTTTAACTTTTTGACATATAATTATAATTATAATTAATAGTTTACCCACTACAATTAAAAAATCATAAAAATGAGACTTGGTGGGTCTATAACTTTAATTATAATTATTATTATTATTTAATAATAATTATTATCGATACAACAAATTTGTAAAAAACAATTTTGTTGTATGTAATATAAAGTTGTTATTTAACTTTTCGACCTATCAATAGTTTAGTAGTAGTAGTCGACTATCCTTTACTAAGTAAAATATAAACGATAGAAACTTGAAATGCTCTTTAAGAATTATAACAGATTTTATAGAATTGTATACAATAACATACCCAAATAGCATTTTCATTAGAGCTTCGCGACTCCCGACCAAATTTGTACCAGAACCAACGTCGGTCATTGTGCAAATCAAAGTTGTTTTCGAACTTCTAATATAAAGTTGCAAAAAGTCGTCCAGACGACGACTGCACAACGTCTGCGACTATAACACCTATAGAGTATTATAATCTGTCCACTGATGACGCCCGCGCAACGTTTAAATATATGTAGGAAATATTACTGGAGTACGGCAACGATGGTCCGACGTTGGCTTCTTTCCCTCGAAGGCAACGTTGCGAAGTAGTGCAAATGGGACGTCGGACTGTAGGTCAAAAATGTGTTGTTTTGTTTATTTTTCTATGGTTAAAAGTGAGGTTATAGTTGCGTTGTTATTGCTGGGACATAAACCACCATTTAATATCAGTAACATTCTATCACCCTATCATATAGATACATATTTAGTTATTTTCAACTTCTTAAAATCATCTAAGTTAAAGTTGTGATTTCTTATAGTTTCCTTCCCAAGGAGTATGCTAGGCTCTATGTTTTTTTAATACCTGTCTATATTTTATACAAATTAATCACGGTTGCGAATGATTAACAAAAAAAGAACTAGCCAGACTAGCAGAGACAAGTTGTCTATACATGGGTCTATCTATGGGTCTATGGGCCAATATAAAACCCCATTTTCCTCCCATTGATGGGGTACCGGCTCGAATTCCCCTAGATCTTTTTGAACAACTTTAAAATGATGTTCGCCCATTTTTTGTGCAAAACAGACACAGACCAACAAAGAATTAATCAACAAACAAGTCACCATCCAAAATAAGTAAGGTTAGAGATAAAGAAAGTTACTATTTTTAGTCATGTGATAGTTGTATCTACAGACCCGGAATGACGTTGGGGCAAATAAGTCGGACCGACGTAGTAATGTAATACGAAGGGTGCACCGCGGTCGGAAATGGTGCAAGCTTTAAGACTTGGTTGTCCTCTTGGTCCAAATAAGTAATGAAACAGTAAAAATTTAGACACTTCGTCGGAGTACGGTTAAATATCTGGAGTTTCCCAACTACGCCATTTTTATATCATCCATATTTGCAACTCGAGTAATGATCATCACGAATATTCACTTTTACCCATTGAATGTTTAAAATAAAGTTAAAAATTATGTCTCGTAGTTTTTAGTTAATTCTTAAAGATGTTTTGGTGCATTTTCACATTGATATCTGCACAAAAAAAAATATGTTTATTTTTTTTTCTTCCGAAAAAAATTGTTAATTTAAATATTTATTAGGGCGCATTAATTTTTTTCGATCCACCTCGGTCACATTCATCAGTAAAGTGACCTGTGTTTGTATATTTCAAGAATCTCTCTGCGATACAATTCCATTCTTAACGAAAATAATATCTATAAATTAGTTAGTGTAAGCGACATGATTGTTTCGTTTGTATGGATGATTGTGTTTGATGCCATGATGCCATCTGTTGGTTAAAATATATTCGTACTCTATGATTACACAATGTTAATCAAGAGGGCGCTAATCACGTGATTAGCGGCCAGTGTTAGAAAGGTCGTCCCGAGTATATTGTTTTGGAACAAGACGACGTCGGGAGAGTCGTCCAAACCGACGTTGAATTTAGTAAGGAATTCTTTCTTAATCCGACGTCGCGTCCGACGTCGTACCGACCAGGATTTTTATTCCCCATTTTGGTGCAGATTCAAGTAAATACGTAGTCGCGCAGACGTTGTGTACCGACGTCGGGTTGTTATAAGCGACGTTGGCCGGACGTCCAAATGCTATTTGGGTACACTTAAGTGTACAATTGTATAATATTATATACAATATTGTATACTATTGCTGTTATTATTGGAGCTACAAACTCTAGTTAAATAAGCAAATTGGTGGCATTTTTCATTTTGATTAAAATGGTAAAAACAGAAGAACAATTAAACGTCGGGTTTCCGAAATATTTACAAAATTAACATTTTATTAAATGGGATACCCTGTATATTTTTGTATATTTTGAAAGACCCTTTAATTTAAAACAAATTTTTTTTATTGCATAACTACCCTAAACTTAAAAATAAACAATTAGTTAATAAGCACTTGAAGTTTCTGATTTTTGTTAAAATATAGTAATAATTTGGTTATTTTAAGTATGGTTACCACCGAAGTGCCTATTTATTGTTTAGGGTCTTTTTAAATATGTAAACATAATACATTAAACATTATAGTGTCCCATTTAAAAAATGTTTTTTGTGAATAATTGCAAACCTGACCTTTAATTGTTTTTCTGATTTCGCCATTTTTAACAGAACAAACAATGTTGACAAATTTGCTAATTCATCCGATTTTTTAGCTTCAATATTAATGGTAAGCAGATAACTCCGTATACGGAATTTGAAATGTATCTTAATTAATTAATCTTTTTCGCTAATTTTTTTTATAATAACGGGTTATCTGCAACTTGCAGATAACCCTAAATTATCCATTTGCAGACTGCAAGTAAAGTTACTGCTAATAATTTCGCTGCATCCATTATTGAACCAGTTAAAGTAAATTTGTTTATTAATTTTCTCAATTTGAAACAGCCGTATTGGGAAATTCTTCACGGAAAAGATTAATAGCAAATTGATAAGATACATTTCCATTCTGTAGTATGGTTCTAAAAAAATACGCATTTCTTTTGATTATATTTTTTCCAAATGTTTTCCAAATTTATTAACACCCTGGGCCATTTCAGGCGCGAAACGCACGAATTACAAAACCGTTTTTGTAAAAAAAATTGTAGATAATTTATAATATAATATATTGGCATCAAAATTGTCAAAAATATTCTTATTTTATTAGGCTATACATTAAATAAAAAAAAACGCAAGAAATATTTTATAGAAGTAGAGATAATTTTAATAATTGAAAGGTGTGGACGGGACAAAAAAAAGATTTATCTTGTCCCGTCCACACCTGTCAATTATTAAATAAAAAAAAACGCAAGAAATATTTTATAGAAGTAGAGATAATTTTAATAATTGAAAGGTGTGAGCGGGACAAAAAAAAGATTTATCTTGTGACAAGATAATAAATAAAAGAAGAATATTTTTGACAATTTTGATGCCAAAATATTATATAATAATGTATTATTATTAATTATTATTAATAAATTACAATATTATTATATATGACACATTTTATAGAATCGTATACAATGAATTGGAATTGTATATCATTATATATGGCTATGTTTATAAAATGACATACATTTGTAGGGCGCGAACATTTGATTTTATTCAAATAATGCACCAAGTTTTTCCACGTAAAACGATGAAATTTAAATACCAATTTGTTGCTATTTCACAAAAAACTAACTTAAAAATTAAATGTATTGGGCAGTCTGTCTACTTTTTAATAAATACCATATAAATTATTATTATTATTATTATTATGATATAACATAAGTATTTGCGTTTCATATAAAAAAATCATGGCTGCGATTCTCGAGTTCATTCTGTGCGGACCGATTGTTTTGAAATGGAAAGAGCCAATAACATTCTAGTAGTCATAGTTACATTATACTATCACTGGCATAGTTACATCCTAGAACTTATACTTACAGAGTTAACTGCAAAGACCCTTTTCTTTTTTGTAAATGGGTCAATTTCTTCAACGGCTACAATACAACACCCACACCCGCCTTCAAGGCACATACGTTTTGTACCAGTTAAATGATTAATGTCCCTTAAATAGGCATTAAGGGTTGTTTCTGGAGTCACATCATCAGGGTGTACTAAAATAAAAAATTGAATTTTTCAAACGTTTTAGTTACGTTTTGATAGGTATACCTATAGGTAAATGCCATTTATTAGAAATAATTATATATAGCCATACTTACTTACCAGTAAGATTTTTGTCCCCTAGTAAAAACTTTATTTTAGACATCTTAAAAGCACAATTTATAATATTATGTTTTAATAATATCTTTATATTTCTTACAATAATAACAAAAACAGAAGCAATTAGGTTTAAACCAGTGGTTCCCAACCTTTCTTTGACCACTAGGACTTTTCTAATCTGTTTATAATAAACATTCCAAAAATTTTAAAATAAGTTTTAATCATTGACTTGTGTAAAAAAACTTTGTTTTTATCACCAATAAAAATTATTATTATTATTATATCAAAACAGTAGGTTTTAAATAGAGAACTTCTAACAATTAAATTATTGGAAATCCATTTGATTTACAAGCTTGCATCCTTTTTACAATTTGGGCAATTTTGAGGCTAATACTGTTGCTCAGAGCTACACCAATATCATTACATAATTTCAAACAATTTGTGGTCTTATTTTTTACTATAGGAAAGGCAGAAAACCCTTGTAGAGATATCATGTGGAGAAGAGCATGAGATATCGCTTTTTACATAAGAACTCTTTAGGTAACAGAAACTGATTCAAACGAATTTTTACAATGCCTATCATTTTTTAATTTAATGAGCTCCTCCCGGACATCTTTTGCGACCACCAATACCTACCAAAAAATTTCTTTCGATTCGGTCTGGTATACGGGAAGTAATACCTAGTAATGATCATGTCATCTTTACTATAATCGACCAGTGCTTTTAATGTCACAAACGCCATCTTTACCTATCCATAATTAAAATTAGTAAATAACATTAAGTTTGACCTCAAACATAAAAATGTTTCCTATTTCTGTTAGATTTATGTTTCCAGAACCTTGCAACTAAACTTAAGTTTAGTTTATTCAAATGTGAGAAAATATCCATTACACACAAAAAAGAAAATATTTGATAATAATAAATTATCTACTAAGACATGCCTTATTTGAATATTCCAAACTAATTTTAAATTGAACCGTATCTTTATAATAAATCTTGACCAATATTAAGATATTATATTGGACACATTTGGCAGTAACTTTTTAAGTACACAGTAAAAAATTTCTGGTAAAAAACAACACCAAAAGTGGTCTATATAGGTCCACACTAGAAATGGTATATCTAACCACATACAATTTGGTAAATTTTACCCTTTTTAATTGGTTAAAAATCTACACGTACTATTCGTACAAAAAACTCGTAACAGTGTAAAAATCATCAAATATAATACACTCTTAGGGGTAAAAGCAACACGCAATATTGGTAAAAGAACTCCATTCAAGAGTAGAAAATGCTCAATTTGGTGTTATTTACTACACATTTTGGTGTTACTTGTAGGTGTTAAAAATGGTGGGTGTTTTAATATTAAACACAGCATGTAAAATAAAGTATATTTTATATTACTTACAAACTATTAGATATGAATACAAATAGGCTTTGGCATAAAATTAAAAAAAAATGATTAACACTACTTAAGTGTATTCTTATACCAAAGAAGTGTTAATATTTTTTTTTATTTGAATGAAAAGTAGTACTTAATATTTTAAGTTTTTTCCAGTTTGTGCAAAACCATATTTAGCTTATATAGGTATATAAGTTAAATATGATTTTTCACTAGCTCAAAAAACTTAAAATTTTACTAAATTTCATATTTCACTTAAAAATCACAGGTAAAATAAACATGTTATATCACAAACTTAAGTTGCATCCACTGTCACATTGCACCACTTTACCCGACCACTGAATTTTAATTTAAAAACCATGGTCTTAAAATAGCATGCATAGGTACACTACCATCAACTGCACTCGGATTACTGATTGATCCCTTGCCGTTAGCGAATGGTGATGACTACGTGACTTTTTTTTACCACAATGTGTGTAGCTGTCAACAAACAATAGTGTCAAATGTACACTGCGTCGAGTTTATCTTTAAATTAACACTAGATTGACACGGTGCTGTGTAAAATAAATTTAAATTAACACGAATGAATTTTACCACAATTTAAAATAAACACTTAATATTTTTGACCAATTTTAGTGTATAAATTAACACCAAATGATTTTACCACTCCATTTGGTAACTTTACACCGAAATATTTTTTACTGTGTAGTAATTCTAAATATACAATACTACGTTGTATTAATAATGGAATATAAAAAGAATTGTAAAATACGTGTGGTAAATTAATATACAAATTTTGTCTGAAATTACATTTTTTTAGTTAATAAAAATTAATTTATGAAACTCATAATGGGGCAGATTGCTTCACTAAGCTGGCCCTGCAAAAAATAAGCTGAGGGCACGGGATGACCTGTGCGGCACAGACTGTGCCTCAAAAAAATCCTTTATTTTAGGGGTGGTTCTTAGACAATAACGTTTGATCTATTATTTTATCTATTATTTGATCTAATATTTGATCCATTAATCCACTGGCAGCATATTGTTTGCGCAGATAAGTGATGACGTACATGTATTTCTCTAATCGGGGGGGATATATATGTGGGGACTGAACCCTTAATTATATTGTAAATATTTTAGTACCCGGAGCCGTTTCTTTCAACAAAGCAAAATTTCCCATCGGCTCCGGCTAACTACACTCTAAATTCGTAGAAAGTTTGTGTATAAATGTGTATATAATAAAATAAGTTTGTATATACCTAATTAATCAATTCGCTTACTTATCCGTACACCCAGTCGACGAAGTGATGACCCCGACGTGTTCGTGAACATTCGTAAATTTTATTTCGTGTACGAACGTGCAGGGCACCTAGTGAAAACAATAACGAGATTCACAACTATATCTAAGTCTTTTGCATAACAAAATGGTGACGACCACGGCCTACAATAGTGACCATCGACCTTCCGGCCTAGGGCTATCACTCCCCTACGCTGCGGTGCACAACACGGTTCACACTGATTTCCAACACTAAGATCTGCCTCAGTATGACAGTACTGGAGGCCAACAACCACAGCCACGGCCCACACTGGTTCCAGCACTAAGGTCACCCACAGTTGACCACCAACCAACCATCCAACGCTGGATGGCGGTCGCAGCTCAATCATCCAAACACTGGTTGACAGCCACAACCACAGCTCTTACGTTGAACAGCTCTAACGTTCAACAGCTCCAACGTTTAACAGCTCTAACGGTCAACACCTTTCACCTTCAACAGCTCTAACGTGAAACAGCTCTAACGGCTTCGATCCTCCTCAACGCGAGATGCCTCAACGCGATATGCCTCAACGCGAGATGCCTCAACACGGGATGCCTCAACACAAGATGCCTTAACACGAGATGCCCAAAGCAGACATCCCAACGCTGGATGTCCTACCAGCCTCCACCATAATTCATCGAAAGACGAGATCCGGCAGACGGGTACGGTTTCCCGATCGCTTCCAATCCGGCGTCTCGTGATCTTCATCACCGGCAGGGGAGTGATGTGGGGACTGAACCCTTAATAATATTGTAAATATTTTAGTACTCAGAGCCGTTTCTTTCAACACAGCAAAATTTCCCATCATTTGCAAACATCCCTGGGTTTATTACTCCTTTACCTCTCCTTTACCCTTTACAAAAGAAATATATTCGTGTTTATAAATTAAATCAAAAAATATAATAGACTTTATTATTTTTGCCTCGTTCTAAATATTTTCTACCTACTTCCTACCCCGACCAGCGGTGGGGCAGGAGAGAGCCTAATTCTCCGTCTTGAATACATCGGTTCCGGCTAACTACACGCTAAATTCCTAGATAGTTTGTGTATAAATGTGTATATATAAAATTTATATTATAAATACACCCAGTCGCTAAATATATATTCCCTTAATCCATGATACAAATATTTACTTCTACTATAAGTAATATTACTTCCCTTACTCAGTACTAATAAGTCAGTAGGCTCAAATTAGCAACGCAGTAAGTATCTTCTTATATAGCGTGATGATTCTGAATAGGCTGGTGGATTTTGGGTATACCAATATTTCAGTTATTAGACATGGGACCCACACCAAATTTATAATGCCATTAAATAGACAAGTTCGGCGCAAACAGAATTTAAATTGGCCCCCCTATTTGAGATCATTCAAATTAAAGTGGTCTACTATAATTTATCGACAAATTTAAAATTTTATTTAAAAAATCCAAATATTACAGATTTTATTCGATTTTTAATTTTTATTATTTATTTTATTAAAATAAAAAAAATATTTAAAATGGTATAAAACCTGTAATATTTGGATTTTTTAAATAAAATTTTAAATTTGTCGATAAATTATAGTAGATAATAAATTGCACCACTTTAATTTGAATTATATCAAATAGGGGGGCATGGAGGCGGGTGAGGCAACAGGAAAAACTAACTTTTTTTCGCAAACTTCAATTTAAATTCTGTTTGCGCCGAACTTGTTTATTTAATGACATTATAAACTATTATGAATTTGGTGTGGGTCCCATGTCTAATAACTGAGATATTGGTATACATAAAATCCACCAGCCGCCACTGAGAGCTACATAGGCGAGAGGTATGTGAATTTCGAAACGTTTTATCCTAATACAATATCTTTGTCTGATCAGTGGCTTATTACCTATTACACACAGTACCCCCACACGCAAATAACACCCCATAACTTATTTTTCGGGGTTTATAGTATAGAGACTATACAAATTGTGTATTATACACACTATAAAAAAGGACTTTTTAAAAAATACAGTTTCCTGTGGACATTGTTCAGTGATTTGAGATTTAAGCAAAAGTTCAGTTTTACTAAAAAATTGTATTATTATTGTCTGGCGCCCAACAATACATTTCTGTTCTTTCTAAAGCAGAATCTTTATCTTTTTAGCATTCAATTTATGTTTGTATGTACCTGACATTTTTTATTCACTTTTGCAAGATCTGCATATGTACTTGACCTAGTGTGGTGTCTGGCATAAAAATACCCCGGTAGAAAAAGTGAACTCTATTGGCAATATTCGAAACCTTAGTTAGACAACCCATTTTTTTTCAATGTGTGATCTGGATTGCTACTTAAATTTACAGATGGTGAACATCCTGTTCAGTTAAG